GCCTTCCCCACTGCAGCAATCCTAAGAGCAAAAAGGACATTTGACAGCCCTGAAATGAGTCTTTTTCTTGGAGGGAGACAAGAAAAAGTCTCATGAGCAGAAGCCTGCTTGATCAGAGACTTTAAACTGATTTTGGACCCCCTACCTGGTAGATGCATTTGGGAAGAAAGTTGGGCAGATCCAGGTACAGTGAACCCAATAAATGCGGACATCTCCTCAGAGAGGATGACAAAGCAACATCAGTCTGTTTTTCATTGAATAGATTATTTCTGACAAACTGGTTGTTAAATCAAACAGGTAAAGCAGCATGCAAATTATAATTGTATATTAGTGCCATTCTACTAGCTGATACAAGAGATGCAAAAATAATAACAAATCTTTTCAAACATTATCAGGACCAGGAAGTTTGCCAGAATCTGCAGAACTAATTGGTGATCAGGATGAAACAGGAGAATTCAGAGAAGAAAATGTCATTGCAGAGAATCTAAATGAGTTCTTTGCATTGATCCATGCCCACTGTGAAAACAACTGGGGAGATCTCAGTGCTACAGCCTTCTCCGGGGAACACTCATCAGAGGATCTGTCCAAAACTGAAGTGATTGCACACAATTTTAAGGAACAAACTGACAAAACAAACAGTAGCAAATCACCAGGACTGGATAATCACCCAACAGTTCTAAAATAACTAATTAATTAAATAGCTTAATGACTAACAGTGATGTGCAACCTATCAAAACTGCGCTGATGCCTAAGGACTGGAAGGGTAACAAACATGAAAAGGATCCAAGTGAGATTCAAGTCTGGTGGCTGTACCAGATAAATTAGAAGAGACCATAAAAAAGAACAATAAAATGAGTGGACAGTCAGATAAATGCAATTAGCTTTAAGACTCCTAAGTTCTGACTTATCCAGTTCTTGAGTTCTTTGAAGGGATCAACAAATATGCATAAAGACGACCCATCTGATATCACCCATGTGGCTTTCCAGGAGACTTTTGACAAAGTCACTCACCAAAATCCTAGTGAAACTAAGCAGTCATGCTGTAAGGTAGAATGTCCTGGTATAGATAAATGATTAGAGGATGGAAAACAGTAAAGTAGCAGTTCCTGCAGCAGTGGAAGATAACCAGTGGAATTCCACAGGGTTCTGTGCCGGGACTTGTGTTCAACATGTAAAAGTGGGCAACAGCAGCAATATGGGAGAGTTTGCTGATGACACTAAGACATTCAAAGTAGCGAAGATGAAGGCTAACTGAAGAGCAGAAAAAGGATTTGTAGTCAACTGATAATAAAACAGCAGATGAAATGTAGATAAACATGAAATGATGCATGTGGGGAAACGCAGAGCAGACATGCCTTCATGTATAAACTACAGCCTTTGAACCAACCATAAGCACATGGAGAGCCATCCTGGGGTTAATGACAGATTCCTCATGGGGGTTTAACGCTCACAGGAGGTCAAGAAAATAAATAAAATATTGGGAATTACTGAGAAATAAACTTATGCAGGCATGCAAATCTATGATTGGCCACATCTTAAGTGCCATGTTCTGGTTTCCTCATCTCAAAAAAAGAGATACAGGAATCAGGAATGTAAAAAGTTCTGAGAAAAGAAACACACAACAGTATGGAATAGCCTCTATATCAGGAAGAACTAAGTAAGCAAGGACTCTTCAGCCTGGAAAAAAGGTAACTTGAAGAGGATATGATAAAGGCCTGGAAAGTCAGGGGTGGTATAAAATGAATGACAGGATTAAACATTCACTGACTTTTTAATACAAGAACCAGCGTGATTATTCTTTTGCTGAACAGACAAGTGCTGAATCCAGTAATGTCAGATGCTTAACAAATGTTTCCTAATTAAAAAAGCAGGCACTAAAGTATAAAGGTACTTGTCTATACAATGGGCACAAGATTTCTTCTATGCAGATTTTAGTATCACACCCTGTGTTTGTGCACTTAGGATTAAAAATAGACTCCTAACCGTACACTGATAAAAGTTTACACGGAAGCTGGCAGGGCCCCAAAAGGCTACCTAAGCTCAGGTAGTGCCTGACTTCCTGACAGAAGCTACTGCCCTATTCAGGCAATCTCCCTGTTCCAAAAGCATGGCCTCCTCGTGACTTATGAAATTAACCAGTGCCTGAGAAAGTCATCCTTTATGTAGCTTATCTGAAAAGCTTAGAGATTATAATGATCTGGTAAAGGGGAAGAGCATCTTCTTACAAGATTTCTGGAGATAGGCAAAAGCCTACAATGCTAACTAGAAACAGAAGCAGGCAAAGCTCATCCTGCAAGATAGAGGCTCTACAAGAACACTTCTGACAGCTTTCATGGCATGTGGCAGCCACCGAGGATTTTTTTGTTACTCCACACCAACCAAGCTCCAAAACCAGCCACGAGCGAAGTCCAACAGAACACGTACTTCAGATGCGTAGAAAAGCACTGCTGAATTCCCCAGTCCTACCTTGCAGATCCAGCTTTTCCAATCTTCTGTACTCCTCTCCTTACCTAAGACTATGACACATAGAATTTAGCAAGTCTTGTCAACTCAATTTCCCCAAAAGTCTTTCTCACCGAGTTAAATTACTACTCTCCCATTCCTTCTGACTCTTTTACCCAAGAGAGAAAATGAGCTGAGAAAAAAAAAAGAGCAGAGCTGAAACTGCAGTGTGGTGAGAACAGAGACTATTTGGGTGGCAGCTGTGGAATTCAGTGTGTGGTGTGGGAGCAAGTCATTAATCCTATTTCCAGTGCTCACATTTAATTTTCACAATACTTAATGTTTATTTTTAAAGTCACAGTTATGAAAGCACTTGAGAAAGTCTGAATGCTCGTTTTCTTTTTTTTTCCCCAATATGTTTCTAGCTGCCATGATTGCCAGTAAAAAAACCTGATCCCATGAACTCTGAAACCTGAAAATTCAGAAAACACACACACTTCCTTTCTTAATATATCAGTTCTTACTCCTGAGGATTTTTAATGCTTTGATTTAATAATACTGATTTATCCTCCTCTTTGCTTCTTCCTACAGCAGACTATTTTACTCACACTGCTGTTACTTGTTTTCTTTTCAACACATACCAACTAACGCTATAACTCACTAGCTGTCAGCATTTTAAAAGAAAGATCAGCAGTGCCAACTACACCTCAGGAAAAACATTTGCACTCCTCACAGCTCAAGTGTTTATTATATACTACAGAAAAAGTAGTGCATTACATTATCTATGTCCCTCTTGTTTCTGCAGGGCTTCACTAAGCTGACAACTGACAGTTGCATGCCTGTTTAAAAACTGCAGTAAGAAATAATTATTCTGAAGACTTTGCATATACAATCATCACAACATAGTAACTTTAATACACAAGCTATTTCTTTATAATTTGTAATTTGATGAAACAGCTGACAACTTAACACAAAAAGCCAGGCTAATCTAGTGAAGAAAGATATATTTTAGGACCACTTAATAAAGTAGGCAAATGAGAAGCTGAATTCTGAATACTACCTGACAACAAACAATGAGAATTTATATATGAGCCTACAACTCATTACGACACAAAGCTATTATCTCAGGAGCCTAGAAAAGTTGCCCTTAAAATTACAGATTAAGATTGAGAAGGTGTGACTCAATTTGAGCTTCTTATTTCCAGTCCCATCATTTCTTGAGTTTTTAATACAGTGCTAACAAGGAAAAATAACAATAAAACTAGTAAAACATCACGCCTTTGATATTTCTTATATTATTTACATAGCATTTACATAGCGTTTTACTAAAGTGTCTTTGAAGACTTTACAATGCAAGAACAGCTTGAACCTGGAAATACTCAGATATGCTGCAGAAATGTTAATCAACAGACATTTAGAACAGAAATTACTTAATCTTTATTCTTCTTCCGTGTGCATTATCACAGAAAACAGGGAGGCAGGTAAACAGGAAAGGGAGAAATTGTTTTTGTATTTGGCAAGAGAAAGAATAGATTGTGCAGTGTAGGCGATCTGGTTACCTTCATTAACTGCCTTTAACAATAGCAGCACAAAAGACCTCCTTTTCCAACATCTCTCCAGGAATTACTAACACTAGGATAAATTGTATAGGATAGCTAAATGTCCTCAAACTAGTTTAGAAGCTGGAGCAGCCAAGAAATTTCCTTACTTTAAAAAATAATTAATGCAACTTAATGTTCTGTGTTTTGAAGCCTTGTTACACATTTGAACATCTATACTTTACATAAATATTATTTTCTTCTTAAATCCTACCTGGCAATAGAGCTGAGTAATTTGATATACATGGGGCACTCCACTCTTACCAACGTGGCAGTCTTTAAAACTGTGATTCTGCACCAAACTCTCAGAGGCTGTGCTCCAGTAAACTTAGGAAAGCTCACTATGATATAGCAGGACAATACAGCAACACCTGACCCTTTAAGTTCTAATGAAGTTGGTAGCACGTATACTCTTGTAATTTTACCTCATAATAGGAGGCAGTTTGACAAACTCTAAACGCTTATTTCTAAGTGAATGTTCCAAACGCAGTATTCTAGGCCCATGGTTTTCTCTAGTAGAGGAGAGGAACATTCTGATACCCCGTGCAGTTATCAAGGAACAAATTTTCCTCTGTTTTCAAATTGCTTAACTCTGGAAAATTCACAATTCTTCTGCAGGGGAGCAGGGCAGGAGAAATCTCAACAATTTCCTACTATTAAGTATTCAAATAAACTATTTGCTTTAAGAAGTATTTTTTTAAATTAAAAAAAAACCTAAGTACTCAAAGGACTTTTTTCTACACATGCAAAGGACAGACAAGTTAATCAACTGTCCTCTGTATTGCTTTGAATTTTTAACTGAAATAATTTCAATTATTTACTACTTAGAAATGCTGTTAAGCATTTAAAATTTTTATTTGGTAAATGCATAAAAGTAGGTCACTGAAAACAAGCTTATACACAATAATACAGACACATCAGAGGATTAATATATAAAAATCAAGAGATTTAAAAACTGACCTGCTGCTTCTGGTGTTTGTTTAGCAGGGCTAAAAATAAGATGTAACATCTGGAGCAGTCTGCTAAAGCTGCACAGAAGTCACTGTAGGAAGAAAGTTTGCTACAAAAGTACAAAAACAAAATACAAATGAGTAAAAGTACTTTCTTCCACAAAAGGTATTTTTAAAACATCACTCTGCTTTTGACTCTCAGAGCCATATTTTCCAACAAATGAAAATTCATGCCAATACTCTGACTTCTAGTAGTGGCATACACAGTTAAATAAGAGCACAACAGAAGTCTAGTTATCCTTGCCACAGTGAATTACAGGAAGGAGCGAACATAAGGAGCTTCCCAACCTGCTTGCCATATGGGCACAGTACGCTAACACTAGCACTTCTTAGCATTAAATGGGAGAACTGTAATTTCAAGATGACGTGGGAAGTCAGACAGTAGAGGAAATGAAGGGTCCCTTCCTCACGCACATCTAGTGGAGCCCAACAACAGCACAGACAGAACACGCCTCTCACCAGCAAATATGGAGAACGCGCTTTCTTGCAGTCATGATTTTATCTCTGCATATTCCCTAACAGCTGCTCCGGTCCTACTCTGCTCACCTTGACCATTACAAAAATAGAGAATTGGACGTGCTTTGGTCATACCAGAAATACTACAATAACAGAACAAACTAGGATAACCTCTTACTTCCCATGTAGTCAAACCCAGCAAATATCTGTGTTGATGTTCAATTATAACAGATTACAGCAAAACTTACAGACTTAGAGAAATTAATAATCTGAATAGATTGAACATATTCTCTACAAAGAAGCTGCCTAAAGTTACTGAGAGAAAAGAATAACTATTCTGTATCACTAGAAGACAAAACAAAATTCAAATCTGTGCTCCGTACTGCATAGTATAATTTTTTTTTTTTTTTTTTGTGACTTCGATTTCCAGGAAGCTAATTAAATTGATTTTATGGTTAATTTGCATCCTCGGAGCATGCAGTTCACTAAACTTAAGAAAAAAAAATTGAAGCAGTAGGAAACTTTAAATAAGACAAATTACTTTTGCTCCATATTGAATTCTAGATCAAGTAAATGTCCTTGTCAGAATTACAGTGTAAGTATCAATTACATTTAATTACAAAACCATTTTTTCATGGCATTTTCCAAGTAAAAGAAATACTCTCTCCTTAGAAGAAGTAAATATGCTCAAAGTGCTGTAATATTTGCTAGAACTCAATTCATTTTTAGGAACAAAATTAGAGAGACAGGTTTGGACAAGGTGGCATGGACTTGGGGAAGCAATTCACGTGCTTTACAGGTAGCACAAACAGCAAAGGACCAGATTTGCTTGGTTTTAGCTGTGGAGAGGAAGGAATGTAGCTGCTCTTCAAGGCACAACCCAATCCCATCTAACAAGGAGCATGTGATGGATAATTTGGAGGGGCTGAACAGGAAGAGAAGTCCATAGCAGAACGACTTCTCAATGAATATGGAGCCACAGGCAACATGACTCAACACAATAACAAAGCAGCAATGGCAAATACTTCATCCAGAACGGCATTCATAAAGTGTGCTTATAACCCAGCTCCTCCTGAAATTACCAACAGTTAATTTCACAACTTCTTCAAAATCCTTAAATTGTTTGCAAGTCCATTTAGCATTGGATATTGCAAGCTGGTGCTTGGTAATGGGAAGATTTTTGACTGAGAAACTATTCAGACTACAAAAGGATCTTTCTGGGTGATTCACTCATACTGATTTCCCTCTAAAAAGTGCATCTTGGGAAGCAGATACTGAGTTGCTCATAAAACTGAGATTCTTTCAGTGCTTCCATCTGCACACTGAAGCCCTGATCCCACAGATTGATCTCCCCAAACACTCTGAGACAGCTCAAAACAATGAACACTGATCACATTTTCTCTCTTCTGTATTTTATTTCACAATACACAGTCCCTGATATAACTTAAGCCTGTGTAACTTCTCGCATTCATTTTTTAAAACATGGCCTGAAACAGGATTAATAAATACTTAATAATTTATGCAGCTTTAAAATATAAGAAACGTATTTTAAAGGTCTCAAGCAGAATCTGTGGGATCAAAGAACAACACAATACAACATTTTTCACAGGACAATGAATCCAAGTTCGTATGGCTACGAGTAAACAATTCTATCAGTATTACTAAAGATACAATTATCATACAAAATCATTAAAAACTACACAGAGCTTTTAAAAAACCAAATCAAATGTAAAATTTCCAATTTTAGTGCTTGATCCTGCCCTCTTTGAGGTCACTTGAAGCAGTAATACTAGGCTTGACTGCGTGCAGGAGTAGCATTGTGTTCTATACATACCTGAATATCCTGACAATATAGGTGCATACATCCTTATCATTCATACGCTGCTCTAGCGCCACAGAGAGCTCAGAGACTGCACCATTGCAAATGAGTTGGCGTCTTGCCGGAGGTAAGTCAGCCAAGTTACGCAAAGTAGCTGTCAGCTGCATACAGAATATTTAAAGATTTATTAATCACAGCCATTTACAACAGAATCCACAGTTTTGAAAATTTAATAAAGCTCAGATCTCATTTGTAATGTCTAAGGCAGTCTGAATGCCCTGTTAACATTCTGCAGGTATGTATCTACCAATAAATTATAACAGGAAATGTGTAAGTAACAAAATTGTGTATATTGAAATAATTCTTTGAAAATGGAAGATTGATACTGGTCTTTGCCTGCATTTAACCTCCTCCTTTGAGGGAAACGTGATCCTTCATCTGTTTTCAAATCTTGTATGCATGTATACAACCATATACCAATTGGAAGTTAGGTGAAATGCTGTGGTTAAAGTGTTTTTTTGCATAATGTCTACTTTTGCAAATTTACATTTAAGTCTTGCAAGTTTATACTGATATATAATACATATTTTGATGATAACTGTAAGTTGCAAACGAAGATGACTTATTTTAAAAGACAATAAAATTTATTTTGATTAAAACTATAGAAGTTAATCAAGATCAAGAGAAATCCACTATTTGAACAGCATAAAAATGAAAAGCTTAAGTTCTCAAGTTTATTTTGGAGAAACCGAAATATTTTCAGAAGATACTGTTCTATTTCAAGGAGTTTTAAGCATAAAATATCTATCACTTGTAGATATGCAAAATGAATCAGCTATTGCATATTTTGAAATGCTCTGGTTCTCTTCCAAGATAAGGGTGTTTGAATGCCAAGATCAGACAGGCAATGACATGTAAGTTAACTGTTGATCTAAACCAGAACTTACTGTAAAATTAATGTGAAGTCATTTAATCTACTGTGAATATGGAAATTCTTCAAATTTTCCTTATTCTAAGAGTAAGGTATTTACTTCAATTTGGTTTTCAATGTAGTCTGATAAGGCACAACGACTATCTGTTCAGATCGTTTGTAATCACAAAAAAATTAAGTATTTTATCACTGAATTGGACTGCTTGTCCAGTGAGATGTAATTGCTAGTTTTAAAGGAAAAATCTGACAATGAGCATGTTAAGTTGTTGTGTTTGAGGAGCTTCTGCGCATAGGATTCTATGCACTACTCTGTCCATTCTCCAGCAGCTTTCAAACTTGCTGTCCTACTACAACAAATTTGACAGAAGCGTACACGTCTTCAGTTACCACCCAAATGAAGAATGAAAATGCAATTCAAGATGTTCTGTAATGGAACAACAGAAGGAGCAATGTGTCAAAATGGAGAAGCAAAGTACAGAGGGGGAAAAAGATACGCGATAATGTGAATGTGATACATGAATGGATTTAGCTTCAGCACTAAATATAAAATTCATACCATATTCAGAATAAACAGAAAGTGAACCAATGGAAACCATTTGCTTTTACCTCATTTTTTAAGAAGACACCTGGAGTTTTGTGTTATTTTAACTAAACAACTGCAAAAAATACATTTCCATATATTCATTCTTCCATAAGTCATGACGTTTCAAAAATCAACACAATACTGTAGAAATACTTTAAAATAAAAATACTTTGCTATTCAAAAGTTTTGGTGAAAAAGTTTCTGCCAAATGGAATACACACAGAAGACTCCATTCAGTGCTCACACTCAAGATGTTCAGTCAGCCTAGGGTATTTGTTGAGCCCTAGCTAAACTTCACAATAAAGAAAATTAAGGATAAACTACATATTAAAAGTGGCGTTCAAACCCAGACCAGGGCTTTCACTGCAGTGAAGAGACTTACACATTAGATGATGGGGGGGGAGAGGGGGGGAAATCTTTTTTGCTAGATAATGGTGCAGAGGTCTCCAAAAAGAGAGTAAAATTCTTCAGTGCCTGAGACAGTTAGGTGGTTCAAAATCCTCCAGTAGTAAATTCTATCAAGAGGCATCCTCAAAGACAGGTTGGAAAGGAAAAGCAATGTAAAATAACATATACACTTAAACATGCAAGACAATGAAATTCAGAATTTCATATAAGTATATATCCACAAAAGAACAGTTAGTGTGCAAGTGAATTTGAAGAGTACAAATTAAAAAGTGATAGAAGCTAGCCAGACAGCAGATGAATTCAAGTGATATTCTGATTGCTTCAGGCAGACACCATGATTCAGGGAGAAATGCCTAACAATTGGCTCTAGCAGTCCCCACCAGCCCTAGTCCATACATTGCCACGTGAAAGATCAAATTCACCCAAATAGAAAATTTAACAGCACACAAATGCTATTTTTAAAGGCAAAGATATTTAAGTACTTTTCAATTATAGAACATGGAGTACTTGTTAAGTCTTATGAGTGGCTTTCAAAGGCCTTGGCTTTTGAATAAGCATTACCATATTTCATATAAATATTATTAGATTATTAGGTGAAGCAACATAAAATGAGTTGATGATCTTGGTTTCACGACCTCTATTAAGGAAAAATAATAATTATTACAAACATTTTTATTCCTGTATTGTGGGACTTCTGCATAAAATCCATTGTATAAAAACGAAGAAATCAGAGAGGGACTTTATTCCCACAAAAAGGACCCAGCAAGATTATGTATAACACTGCCATCTGGTGATTGTGCAATTATACGGTTAAAAAATGAAGAGTTGGTCCCAGTTAACTGAGATATCAGTTATCAGGATTAAGAGATGGCAGATCCCCCCTTCAGAGACCACTGTGACTATTTAAGGTGGTTTTCTCCTCTAATACAATTTGCTCTCTTTTCCTGAAGACTTGTATTTATTCATTATTTATGTATGGCGCTGGATATTTGATCTTTTGCTACAAGTTAAAGTATGCCACAAAAACTTCCCTTTATTCTGAAGATATGAATCACCAAAGAAACTTTCTTTGCTACTCTATCTCTGAAAACAGGCCTATTCCTACATCTATGATAACTGAACAATTAACTCACATGGAAGAAATGGTGCACATTAATGTAGATCTGTTGAAGAAACTGATATGAGAAAGTCACACAAAAAAATACTACTATAGAAGAGAATACAAACAAGTGAAAGAGCAACCTCAGGAAGAGACAGTTGTCAGTATTGACTTTTCCACAAAATACTGGAGGCCTTCTTAGAAACAGCCAGTCTATTCAAACTGTACAAAATAGTTTTGCTACACTACCAATCATACTGAAAACAGCAGAGATAGCAATAACAAAAATGAAGTGTCAAATGTAACATTTTCCTTTCACACGTTTGCAACTTAAACACTTGATTTAAAAAAAACTAATAATGGAAGAAGAAAACACTTCTGCTAAGTTGTGGGGAAGTTCAGTCTCCTAATTAAACAGCTGAAAATTATCTGATTCATTAGTTTTATTACTTGGATATAATTTGTTATTTTTAAATGCCCCACCTGGCATAAACTTTTTATATCTATTTAACATAAATGTCCATCTCTTTCTACTCAACAGGATTCCATTATATGTATTATATGAATAATGCCAACAACAGCCAGCAAACGTCAGGAATATGCTTTGCTTTTAACCATCCCCTTCCTGCTCTCAGAAGGATAAATATTTTTAAACTATATAGACATGAAAACAGGTACAGCATACATATATCTAATTTAGGTTTTAAAATTCCTACCAAAGCTACAACCTAAAATTCCAGTCACTTAAAGGACTGCACCACTTCCGTATGTGAGGCATCATACTCTACCTCTTCATCTAAGCTTACTTTTCTTATAGTTTTGGTGTTTTAAGTCACTGTCCGTCACCTTGCAAATGACACCAAGAACAGAATCTGTTCTGGACCCCCAGCTCCTCCCTCAATACTTTCCAAAAGGGGATTTCTAACTAAACTGGCAGCCTAAGGCAGCACTACAGTAGTATTGGGACTTAAAGTCTAACCAGCAGCATTTAAGAAAAATATTATCATTAAAATCTTGATTACGTTCAAACCTAAAGTTTGTACACCTTCTCTTGAAAAAGAAGGCTTGGAAATCCCATATACAATTTTTTATAGAATATAGGGTATAATATCAACAAAATGGCACAGATTATTTTAGAATTGTTTGGAGAATTCACAGTGCCACAAGGAAGTTACATTCCCAAATCTAAAGATAGATACATATAAAAGAGAATTTTGTGATTCATATAGGAACCTAATGATGACAGGACTAGATAGGAAAAAAAACAGGAACACAACAAGCACAGAATTTCCAGTTTCATCATATATTCTCTCAGTCTTTAGCAATTTGCCACTTTGGGACTTCCTTAGCCAAACATAAGTATTAAGCGTATATAATAAACGTATATAAACATATAGAAATGTGAGTATTATATCATTTCACTCAGTGCTTTGTAGCATCTCTCAATGTGTTTATGTTTGTATTATGATCATACACACTATTCTGGAAAGACATACCTCACAGCTCCACTAAAATAAACAAACGGAAATCAGTAATAGCTTACATCATCATGTTGCTATCTATTTTCTCACATAATTTCAAGTAGTATAAAATCCCTTGTTTGTAAGTTAGTAGAGAATTAAAGAAATCTGGCATAACTCGTAGAGAAATTTAGTGTAAACACTACCTCAGAAAATTGTCCGATATATTTTCCTATAGAGTCCCCAAAACCTTACAGTTACACCATTCACTAATCTTTACATCAATAATTTCCAAGACAAATGCCAGAAACCTCCCTGGCAAATCCCTGACAAATACAAAAAACCTGCAACCTATGCGTAAGTTAAGATTTAGCTATATAACCCTTTTTTTCTAAAACACTAAGGTTTAAACAGTTTTAGAGCAAAGGATTTTACTTTACATTTTACTAGGTACCTAAAATATTTCTATTAACTTCAGAATTCCTAAGACCTTTAAAACTGACTACACAAAAATATTTATGATGATTAAATGTAGGTCCTGAGCAACTTCAAGTAAACTTCTTAAAAAGAAGTCTGTTCAAATATAGGTACATTCAAATACATGTACGAAGATAGGTACAACTGTCAGTGGCACAGAGGGTCAGCTTATCTCCTCTAATTAAATTTTCATTTGCCCTAGAAGTGTGTGTTTTTAGAAATAAAAGTAAATGCTAACCTGGACTAATAGGTGGCCCAAGTTGGAGAAATAAGTGTCATTTTCTTTTATATTATTAATCTGCTTCATTAATTGCAGCAACATTTCAACAGCTCCTTTGTTGACCATTTCATTAAGGAGTACTGCATTTCCAGACATGAATTTTATAGCTCCCATGCAATACAGGAGAGCTTCATTGTTTTTTTGTAGATCTTCAATTCTCATGACCTCCAACAAACAATCTAAAAGGAAAATAATTATTTGGAAAGCCTAATATTAACATTCATATTTGATACAGTCCAGTCATTGAAGAGATTAACAATCAGGAAGAAAAAAAAAACCTCAGATTGAACTCTTACATTTCTAATAAGTGGGCTAGAAAAATTGGGTATTTGGATTGAAACCAAGAAACAATTATTGATGAATAAGAGAACAGGCCTGACTTTTATTCTCCCAAGCTTCAAGAACTAGCACCAGTTGTAAACACACAGCAGTCATCACTGGAATCCTCAGGCAAGATTTGCAAAAGTGACTCTATGTGCCTGGAATTTTGTGTACTACACTTGAGACATTCTAAAGAGGTTTATTCACACTACTTCCTTAAAAATCAAATGTCTTACAGTATCTCAAGGGGAGCAGTAAAAAGCACGGGTGCCTAATTCAAATCTCACACTTGAAGTCTGTTTGTAGACTTTTAGATTTACTTTTTACGTAGGTAAAGTTACTGTAAAAGTTTCACTTTATGCTACCATACTGTCTGAAATGTTAGAATTAACAGTTGTTAGCACAAACCCAATGTATCTTTTACAGTCAAATTGACACATTCTGAATTTGGTGGCTGTATCTTAAATAAATAAGTAATCCTAACCAATTTTATACTTTTAAATTTCCAGTAACTGATTGAAACTGCTACTTACTTCTGCTTCCTGTGTTCCATCCATTTGAATAAAAACATTTTCCCATCTCATTAAACCTAAGACATTTCTGAAGTTTTTTCTGTCTCAACTCAAGTTAAAACTCCCTCCAAGTATATGTGTGTGTACAGATGAAATATACACACTCCAGCCTCTTGCCCAAACTCTCACCCTAGTGGTCAGCTAAATCACTTGGGTTGTGGCAATGTGAAAAAAGTTTCAGGTCCCTGTTCTGCTCAGTATCAAACAGAGTCTTGAACAGTAGTTGTCTATTTTGGGATGAACAGTTTATTACTTCTACTGGAGCTGCTCCACTGCACATAAATAGTTCACAGGGCCAGTGGAAAAAAAAGAAGTTGAATCTATAACCCAGTGACTACAATAGGAATCTGGGTGATTGTGATGTTAATCCAGGTTCATGTCTTTGGCCTGGATAAGGTGGGTCCAAAACACAAGAGTGAATAAACAAATAAAATGCTACCAAAAATGTTCTTTCCTTCTCTAGTTTTTAAAATACAGGGAAAGAAGAGCAAGTGAAAGAAAAGCGAGTGAAGATGGAAATAAGAGCAAAACAACCAATGCTTACACAGACATAGCCACTCAACTCCTCCAGATTCTTGTATGATGCTAATATCTACAAAACTGTAGTTTTCAGTATCCAAAGTCAGTTGAGCAATTTGTGCTGTTCGTTTTCTCTGAGTCCTTTCCTGTTGATTTTACTGCTGGAAAGGCTTATGTGGTCTTTATTTCTGACAACACTCACGCCCTGAACTTAAAGACCATGGATACTCTCATGCTTTAATAAATGCTTGCAAGGTCAAGGCCTACATTAGTAAAACATAACGAAGTTTTAATGAAAGGAATGACCATCAATCACTACTGAATATCAATCATATACTGTCTTTTTCTTCATATTTCTCATATTTGCAAGGTGTGTGAGGACGACACAAATACAGTTACAATCACAAAAGATCTTAGAGCCATTGCTGACAATCCTCCAAAACCATTGGCTCAACGTGCAGCAGTAGCTAAAAAAGCGAATGATTGTTGTCAATATCCTTCCTGATGATGGCCACAACACAGACAGCATTATTTCACTTCTGTAAAACTTGGTGCAGAAACATCTTGACTTCTATAGACAGTTTTGTTCTGTACATCTCAAGAGGGATCTATTGGAGTTGGAAAAGGCAAGAGAAGGGCTACTAAAACAACTGAGAGAATGACACAATACCCTTTCAAAGAGAGAGCTAAAAGGCTGAGATGCCTCAGTCTGAAGAAGAGAAGGCAGAGATATACAATATGACTGTGGTTTGGAAAAGTCATGAAGGTGGACTGTAAACTGACTGTAGAAACTCTTATAAGTCCTGCAAAACTACAAGCAGGGGCATAATGAAAAATAGATACGTTTAAAACAGCAGATAGAGAACTTCTTGAACTTGTTGCTCTATGAGACTGTAGAGGCAGACAGAATCAGAAAGTGCAAAAAGGAATTAGGCAAATTAGTGAAGAAAAGATACATAAACAGAGACTAAAAAGGATTAGGCAGGGATGCACTATCTGATGTCCCTAACAAAATGTAACAATTCTGGATGCTGGAGTAGTATCAGGGAAGCAGATCACAGAGAACATGTAGGCTGCCATGCTCTACCTAAACAGCATCCCCTATCGCCGTTGATAGACACAGAATACTGGACTAGATGGACCGTTAGTTTCACCTAGTAGGTAATTTTTAGTGCATGACTAAGTTAACTCTGACAATGTTTCTTGAAAGTTGATCAATCTAACTACTTAATTTCAATGTCTAACTTACATACAAGAATAGAATACATACCCAATAATCTATCATTTTGAATGATGTAATCATTTTTTTCATTCCTACAAATTTTAAATGCAAGCTTGCAAACGCTGAGAAGATTTTTTCCATCCACTTTCATCTGCAAAGAAAGTAAAAGACATAAAAATCACAACGAAAATCTACATACAAAAATGCACCATAACATTTTACAGGTTCAGACACCACGGCAAACTTGTATTCCAACAGAACTATTAAATTCCAGCTGAAACCCTGATAGTATACTGCGCCAAACTGAAAAGTCTGCAGAATTAAAGGACTCTGAAACCCAGCTAGTTTAAGCTCTATTTAGCAAACCGTGCTGACTGACTTTAAAATAACAGATGATCTATAACTTTTAATGTATTTTATGCAGGTAGTATATAAATAATTTGCATGTTTTTTTTCCTCTAATTTACCCTCACGAAGAAATTCTGCACAGGCTTCACTGGTTTAGCATCTACAGCCATACCACAAAGAACTCCAGTACAACAGGACATGTCATAATGAAAGTTATTCTCAAATATCAGAAAACTAGATCTTACGATGTAGTAATGGTCACTGAGAGATCATGAAAAGGAAGTAAAAGTGTTAAAAATACTATAATAAATCTCTTCCTTTCCTCTGCATTTCAAGGGCAATTTCTTCTCTTGTTCATGATTTTTAAAAGATTCCACAGCAAAATATCTGTAACAGAACTTTTTTTTTTTATAAGCACCACTTAACATCTATGTAGTATCTGAATATATCTATCTTCTGATTAAAATAACACATGCTACCTTAAAGGAGAACTGCCCCCTCAATACACACACACGCAAATTACTAAAATGTCTACAACACAATGCTAGCTGGTATTCTTTCACCAGTGACTGTCCATGCATGCTTAGTGGAAGATGAACCAATAAGTTCAAAAGTACCAACTTAATTGAGAATTTTAACCAGAAATACTAAAGAAAGAGATAATTATACTTACTCACTTTCAAAAAAACCTCTCTTAGCATTTTCAGATAAAGGTGTTTAACAAGGTCAAGATATTATTCAAAAACTAAGCTTCATTTCCATGTGTAATTTTTTATATTATTGTTTTGATTAATTCCCTGCATATGTGTATCCCAGCTTAGGACACTGTCTCTTTTCCATGCCTCATTCTTCCTCCCCCAGATGTAATTTCTCTGAAAAAAACACGCTCAAATAAGTGCCTATCTGGATGAATGGGAGACTAGTAGCCATATGGCAAGAAATTGTGCTTAGGAAAAGGGTTAATTTTGACACAGTTTAAAAGTATGAAATGAAACATTAAATGCAAGTTGTAATTCATGATTTTGAGCTTCACATTCTACCAAACAGCATTTTAAAACACTTACAGCCAGAATAATCTTTGCCAGCTTCAGGCAAAGTGGATCTGAATCAATGTCTACAAGTTTATATAATGTCTTCAGAAGCACACTTCTTCTTTTAAATCGTTTTCCAAGCATGTTTCCTTCATTCAAGGCTTGATAGAGCTTGGTGCAAGCCAGACAAAGGTTTTCTACATTGTCTTCTACTTGAAGGGCGTGGGAAGGGAGAGAAAAATAAAAAATAATTATCAGTGCTACCTTTTCCAGAGCATCTCAACAGACAAAGACACAGGAGAACAAAATAAAGAATGGGTTGCACAACAACAAAAATAAAGCACCCAATAAATCTCTTAAAATGATAATGCAATCCTCAGAAACATTTTTATTCTGCTCTTTCAAAAAGAAGAGACTCAAAACAAGAAGCCACAGAGCCAAAATAATACCTAAAGCTAAAATGAAACTCACCTTTAACGCTTAATAATTGGATTGACCAAATGTCTACCAGGAAACTGTGAATCTGAATCTATTCTTCAAAGAGCTCCACGAAACATTACATGTGAAAAAGAGACAGTTAAGGATTTTTTTCTGCCCATATACATAACCTAATATATCAAACCTTGCTGGGATTAAGAATCAGTGAATGTAAAAACTTGTTAGAACTCTCCAGTGCATAATAGAGGTGCAAGATATATTTGAGTGGACTGTTGGCCTACTGACAAAAAAAAGTCATCTACCTCCTAACCTGAGTCCCTCAGACACTATTTAAAAAATACAGAAATAAAACCTGCAGTAAATTATTACAAAATCTATATCTCAACACAATGGAATCATGTACATATTTACTTTAGAGGGAAAAGCAAAAGTCTTGCTTATTTTTAAAATTGAAGATTGAGTTGGCTTTTTTTTCTCTTATATTTGCTTTTGTCTATAAGGTAACACTAACAAAGCACCGTATAAACCAATTAAACTGCCTGTATAAACTCTGCATTTACTCAGGATGTACTTCATAGCTGAAACAGAGTCATATTCAAGAAGGCAAAGCACTTGTGATGAAATATATATGGACAGGAAGTTACAACACAAAACATCGTATCTAAGGCCCCCAACCTGTAGGCAGATTCAAGGACCCACCTCATGCTGAGCAGTGCCTGGAAGCTTTCAATTTGCAATCATCATATTCAAGGAACATCAATGACTATTCCATTTCTACTCCCATCATGACAGAAAATTTAACAAAATTTAGCATGATCCTAAACCCTCTGCTCCAGTAAGCAGTGAAACAGGAGTGGCAAGGAACCAAAACTGAAAGGTCTCCACTCTATTTCATCAAAATTAACAACAACAAAAATTATTCATCACTGATTCCATGGGGCATTTTTGAATCTTATCCTCCCTTGAGTACTGGAATGTAACAAAGTATTTGCTCCTCCAGTAAAAGAGACTTTGGGATTCTATTTGGTTTTGTCATATAACAATGATCTCAAGTGTATGATATTCATAAGATTTTAGAAAATAATTAAGTTCCAGGTTAAACTTCAGCTTTGTTTTTGAATGGAAAGTTTTCTGCAAATATTTTTGAGGGAGAAAGGGGAAGAAAAAGGCTTTTCTATTAATATATAAAAACCTAAATGTGGCTTAAATGCATGTGCAGGGAATTAGTTGAAAAGTATGAAGCAAGTGACTGCACGCAAAATTTAAAATTATTGAATTACCAACAGGCCCATTCAAAACATCAAAATTATGGAATTCTAATATTCATTTTTATAAGAAAAACTGAAATTGTGCAGTAAACAGCCTATATAAAGCAATATAACACACAGCTGCAGGAGGCAATGATGCAATTCAGTTACAATCTGTGTGAATATTCAAGAAACAGCAAAACTCTTAACTTTAAGGTTGTTATAGTACTACATTCAATCAGCTGGTGAGAAAATACCATTAGATAATTTCATTTATTATTAGAAAAACTAAGCCATAATCGAGTTTTAAAAAAAACTAAAAAAACCCCAACACACTAACCAAATCAAGTAAAGACTGAGGAAAAGGGGCATGAAAATTGATTTTCCATAGTTACTTTCAAGACAAGGGAAAGACATGATTAGATTTTACCTCTAAATCATATTTTGCTTGCCTATAAAGAACATCTAACTATGCAAAACTCAGTGGTTCATATTTCATAATCTCAGCATTAAGCAAGGAAAATGTGAAGATACATAGCTGTTTTCAAATTTCCTGATCACTGTTTTTCTACACAGTGACAGATGTGAGAATGAGACTCCTGCCTTTTTAAAATAATGATATATTTCGGGAATCACTTAGTACTGTACAGGTGTTTCATACTCATCAACATCTGCAAAATTATGCAAAAAAAAAAAAAAAACCCTAATCTGTACCATGCTATAATGAACACTGCAAAAGATCCCGTAAAACAGAATCAATCCCCTAATTTGACAGTCAATTTTAACCACTTGTAAAAACAAATCTACTTTCTATATTCCCACCATTCAACTAAATATAATATCTATAGAAGGCAACTAAACAACCTTTTGAATGAAACGTTACAATGGATTTCAGAGTTCAATCTTTCAAACCATACTTATTTTACTCAATTTTGCTTCAATATTCTGGGTCATTACATGCTTTTCCTAGACATCTAACACATTATGCACAAATGGAAATTTTCATTAAGATGTCCTTAGTTTTTAGAATTAATGGAGACCTTCAATACAGTCTATGCTTGAAAAAGTGAACCTGTGCAGTACTTTATTCTTAAAATTATTACCTCATCACTGACTGCTAAACTGGCAGAGCTATGTTGTCTAAAATAATTTAACCAGACAAGATCTTCTCTAAACCAGTTTCTTTTTTTTTTTTTTTTTTTTTTTTAACAGAACCACAGAATGGTTGAGGGACCTCTGGAGGTCATCTGGTCCAACCCTTCCACTCAAGCAGGGCCACCTAGAGACAGTTTGCCCAAGCCACTTTTACACTGCAAAGCCACTGAACATATGAAAGCATACAAGGCTACATAGTCCAACTACTGTTATTCTTTTGTAGTAAACACAAGTAAGTTCCATATTTCCTGCAGGAAATAGTACAGAAAATACAGCTTTTCAAGAACAGTGTTACCCACCTTCTTCCAGTTCATGCAGAATGGGCAGAATCTTTATATGCCAAAAGATTTCTTCCTCTTCTGATTCATTTATTCTTGTTTCATCCTCTAAGTCTTCAAAATACATTCAAAACAAAAGCATATATTCAGTGAAGGTTTCAACTTCTACACAAATAAATAGCTACAAATACTTTATTCATCAGTCAGAAAAAAAATCTGCAAATGTCACATTTTTCTGTATTCTGGGTTATTCTACTCATTCAAGCTTTTCTTTTTATTTACATTTTCTCAAAAACAAAAGTTTCAGACAAAACTAGATGGATAAATGTTTTGATCTGTAAAGCTGTACTGTAAAGCCAGATTTGGTTTTGTTTGCTGACATTAATGTTTCATTTGATAGCTGAATTGGAAGGTAATGACTACTTCTGCATCAACATGTCCTACTATTTTTCAGGTCTGTGTCCACATGACAGCTTATTCTGTGTTAAAAAATACCCATACTACAGACAATCCTGTAGGATTGTACAATTTTACCTAGTACACATGCACAATAACATTAAGCTTGGTTAACTGACTCTTTGGTCAGTTAGGGAAAAATAGCCACATTAGTTATTACATCCTGTTAGCAGTTCTAACCACTTTATGTAGTTAGTTCTGGGAAGTTCTCAACTAAGTTTTTATTAAATGCAGGTTTCCCTCTTATTCTTTGTTACATTAACAATTTCTTACACAGCATCTTGGGAAATGAACAGCGAACTACAGATATCTGAAAGATGTTTTGCTTCTAATAAAAATCTCAGAAACATTGAAGGCAAGCATGTCCCAGGTTTTTTGGCCACCCTCAACCAATTTCCTTCAACAGTGACTCACAAAGAGCTACTGTTCATTATCAGAAACTTTGTCCACTTCACAAAGAGAAGTTTTAAGAAATAGTTCAGCTTTTTCTATACTTTGCTTCAAAAAGAAAAGACAAAAAAAGGCTATTAGCAGACATCAAGTTAAAAATTGGTAGACCAAAAAATCAGCTGCCTGGAATTTGCCTGGAAACAAGACTGAGAATGTGGATCTGTTTTCAGATTGGACAAAGGAGTTGGTGAAACACAGTTAAAATCCATTAAAAAATGGATTCCTGGATTGTATTTCGTATGGATGCAGTATCACTGGGAATTATTCTGAGTTGCTGAACATCCTTTTCACATTCACCTGGCACTATGTGAAGTGACAGAATTCTGGTCTTGACCGCTAGCCCACTATAGCTGGAGAGCCAGTTTCTGTGCAACTTGAGTTTTAAAGGATCTAACAACTGCTTACAAGGCGCATGTAGGCATATTTTGGGAGTTCAAGATTAGGTTAAACTTCTTATCTTGCAGGCAACCAAAGCTGTTTTAAAGATGATTCTTGGTTTGTGGTTCAGTTTTGTTTGTTTGATAAGTAGGGAAATAAAAGTCACACAACTCCACTAAATAATATGAAGCCATTTAAGACTAGAATATATGTATCTTTTTAAGTGACAAATTTGTTAAAGTGTCTCCTACTATTCATTACTAGCTCTTGCATTTAAATGACAATGTAAATTCTTAACATAATCATTATCAAACACAAAAAATAATGTACTACATGAGAACACTGTCATTGAGAGGTTTGCATCATGAGAACAGTATCTCAGACCTCAAAAAAATTACTGTCTACCGAGCATTACTTGGAACAGTGAAGCAATTAAAAACTTCCTGAATATTTTAAAAGTTTGCTCTTTAAAAAAAAATCCAGACTCTTGTTGTGTATCTATATTAACTTTAACCGTCTACTTGTATTTTACACAGAATGAATGTATCAGTTTTATGTATTTCAACAGATTATACAAAAATGCTGCTGTTTCCTAACTAATACACTAGTAAGTATGTTATCACAGTAACTATACATTGTCAGTGTGTACATATATATATTAGTGTAAGTATATCTTATTAGGTAATATTATTATTACTTACTTGGCAGACCTTTTTATTTTCTAGATCAAATGAGTTAAAAGTCTTATTTAGATCGACGAGTAGCTTAATTAATAAAACACTATGCAGCATTTGCAATGAAGTGAAAGTTCTGCTCCAGATAATGTAAGAGCACAGCTGAAATGACAACAGTAGAATACTTTGCACTGTTCCTTCCTGCCACAAAACCCACATACTGACTCAATTATTTCTTTTCTTTCCAATTTGTAGGTACCTCTCAAATTGAAAGATGGGACTGACTTTCTAACTATGCACATGCTTAACTTTACTAAGCAAGAAATAAGATAGTTCACGTATGCATTTGCAGATATGATTAAACTTCTCACTGGAAAAAAAATTTAACAAAGCCATTCAATTTTTGGTTCAGAACAAAAAGAACTGATTTTCTGTGCCATTCTGCTGCAGTTGTCTCACATTCATCAGAAAAATATAGCAACCTAAAAGTTATAATGGCATAATTATTTTAAATAAATATCTCTTGTAACTAGGAAAAAAAAAAAAGATAATCAGCTTTTACTAAACAGTATTAATCCTAGCAATAAGAATGAACAGGAAATACACAATTATAAAGAAAAGCAACATTAATAAATTGTAAACCTGCGTGTGTGTCAGTCCTGAGAGATTTTTAAGGTGCTGATGAAAAGTTATGGCACTAATTGTATTTAAAATATTGCAGAAGCTGTGCTGAACCTTCTAATTGAGCGATCACAATTCAACAGCAAAAATACTCAAGTAAAAGAATTCAGCAGGCTGAAGTTCATTGTCTCAGTTTTTCATAGGTCTTAACCACAGCTTTGCATTCTGCTCAAAAAAAAAAAAAAATCACTAATCAGTCTACATTTATTGGTTGCTGGTTTTAGCATGTAAATACAAGAGCCTTAGCAACACTGAGCTTTCAAAAGCTCTGTACTGCCTGACTTATCATGTTTAGCCTTTTCAAGGAATACTGAGTGGCTACGAATATATCAATATAAAAACAGTCTACCTCCTCTCTAAAGTGTGAAAGTATAAACACAAATCATATCAGAAAATAGAAATAATCTGTAATTGAACACTCCCCCAGGACCCCACTATAGAGAAGAAACGATTGATGAATTCCTACTGCTATGCCACCATTTATCGTGGGATTAAAGATGAAGTATGCATAAACTAAGGAAGCTAAATAACGTTAAGAAAAGTAGATATAAAAAGAAACAATCCTAATAACACACATGATTTTTTCATCACCACCAATAAAATAGGACAAATAAACCTAAAGGCTTATTAAACAGAGAAAATACAGCCCCACAGAATACTAACTCCCATGACATGGTAAATACTCTTAGCTCCTCTGAAGGAAATGAAAGCAGAGTACATTACAGCCTTTGCCAGAACGATCCAGAATAATGCAACTTCTCGATTCTAGAAAAATAGTACTAAAGGATAATAATAGCAGAGTAGAAACTTCAGATTTCCATACCATACTCTCAAATATGCATTTGCCATGTATGAAATGTGCCAGCTATGAGGAAACATTAATTAAAATCTGTTACGTAAAATTAGCAAAATGCATCCCTACAGAGCAATCCAGAATCTGTATCTTCAGCTAATATAGCTTGGCATAACTTTATTAGTTTCTGTGCAACTATGCCAGTTTACAAAAAGTGATGGGCAAACAAGGTGTTAATGGATTGGCAAATTTTTAAGCCTACATATAGGAAAAACAAGAGAGTAAATACCATCAGATTTTGAGAGTGAAGATCTCTTGAATACTATCACTTTACCGACAACAGTAAAAAAAAAAAAACAAACAGTATGTCTAGAAAACCATAAATACTGTTCAGTGAATAAAGAAGAAATATCTTCATATCAGAAAAATTAGACTATTTCTATTTGACTGTACTAGACATTTTTTGACTAGAGATTGAAATGCCTTATGAAGTACCTGTTACTCTCCTCTTCCAGCCTGTACTCCTTGGCCATGATGAACTTGTGCCAGGCTTTTTCATCTGGTCACTAAAAGATACAGTATAGACACACACTAAGTATATCTGAATACAATGCTCAAAATGCTTCTTTCTTCACGTGCACTCAGCATGAGATCTCAGTATTAATAACTAATTGGAAAAGATTGTAAGTTATTTTACTAAGTTAGTAGGTTAGCCGTTCATTAAAAATGACATGTAAATACAATTTCCTCCAGCATGTACTACAGAAAGCTCCTTCAGAAATACTGACATATTTACACCACAAGAGGTCACCATTATGGAACACAAAACCTAAAGCATTTCCACTTGCACAATAAAACTGAAAGCTGAACCAAACTAAACTCAGAAAAAGCCAATTTTTATTTTATCATCAGTTTCACTAACTGAATATAAATTCAACTATCTTAAAACTGTAAGTTCATCCATTCCCAAGGACAGTGATTTCTGACAGAATTAGCACTTTCAAAAGATATAATGAGAAGAATTTTTAAACAAACACACACTTTAGTAAGCTTTAATGTAAATATTAGAATTTCCAGGTCTGCCTATGAAATGTTGCTAACAGCATAATGGTCACTAGTTCTGTTAGTACAAGAAACACACATGTTGTGATTTCTTTGTAAAGCAACAGTGACCTGCTGATCATATGATTAGTGTTTCTTTGGCCAGAGGAAACTACTACATATATCTGTGATAAATCTTTTCTGTTTGCCTAGCTACACACTCAAGCAGCACTAATCTAAAAGAAATACACAAGATACACACTCTCTTTACTATTAAACAAGAATCTTTCCATCTTTAAAATTCTGTACTAAAGACAAAGGTCTTAATGTATGTTTTCTATTCTCAGTGTATGTTTAATTTAACACTTCATATTCCATTTATAGTTCATGTACCAATACAACCTAATCTTCTAAATTTTCTTCTGAAGATAACAGTAGTGTGTTAGCAATGTTATTTCAATTCTTTTAACCTGTTAATTTAGTTGCTATAAGGCTTAAAGCTAAACTGTTGTTTAAGTGGTTTGCTGGACTGGTGCCTAAATCCTGTCTGCCAGTCCAGACAGAAGATGTAAGTCATCCTGTCAACAGATGGAGACAGAATAAAAGACAAAGCTCTTGTAAGATCACTTCCCTACAAAAGGGACTGGATAGCTCACTGTGATCAGTCAAAAATTTCCCAAGCAATCACATTACAGAGGAACACTTGCTTCATTACGGCTAACAGTGAATAATGCTTTCTTTTTACAGCATGAGGATTTAAGTGCTCCAAAATCCAAATGCTTACACAAACTATCTTGAAATTTTTGAGCTCTTATATGGCAATTCCTACTCCTCTGGGGAAGCAACGGTTTTAAACTAAAAAAAAAAAAAAAAAAAAAAAAAAAAAAAGGACAAGTGCTTGCACCTCTACTCCAAAATAGACTGGCATCTGTAAGAAAGAGGGTTTTTACAGCACAGATTAAATACAGTTCATTAAATACAGTTCAGTGTATTAATAGAAATTAAAATTTGGTTCCATTTGCGTTGAATACCTTGTCCTACAAACTTTTATTAAAGTTTAAGAAATTATTCTAGGAGGTTCAGCCATCCCTGAAATCAAGACTATAACCTGATAGGGCACTGGATAAGCAAGAGAATAACAACTTCAGTCACCCAACACTAATTCAGCTTTAGTTCAGGATTCAGGAATCAGTATCTTGAGAATTATATGTAGACATGATGATGCTATCTGCCTATATGAGTATGGTGTTTGAGTTTGCTTTCCTCAGAAAAAGTGTTTTTTAACTATATCCAGTCTGTGCCTCTTCCCCTAAAATGTAAACCTGCAGGATGAATTCAAGAAACCTCAACAAAGACAATCCTACAAGTTTTGTAGGAAACAAAAGCAGCTGAATAGAAAAGACACTGAAGCAAAGGATGTGGTAACCTGAATGCTTATCAGATAGAAACACCACATATGGGAGATGAAGGGTAAGACCATGTCAAAGTCTGAAATGCATAAAAAAAGTTTGGTTGGAGCCTATGATTTCTTGAACACCAGTATCAACCGGTTTAGAGACCTACGCAAGTAGGAAAGCAGTTTTGGGAAACAGCCTAACTGGAACTGCCATTATTTTCAGAAAAAGAATACACTGAATATGTACATAAATGAGAGTGACTGGTGGGCAGGCTTCTCTTTAGAGAATACGTACAATTTATGCATTTTGTGAGAAACTATAAAATCCCTTTACGTATCTTTACCATGCTGCCAACTCCATTTTAGTTACAGAGACTTTTGCTTCATTACCTTTTCACTTTCATGTAGGGCTGAAACTTAAGCAGCAATATCTTGTTAAGAACTATGTAGTTAAAATGTAATCAACCTAGTCTAAAAAATAAGTTACCTGCTATTGAAGGGAACTGGCTTGTCAAGAGTGGTTGCCTTGGAAACAAAGTCAATTGGCAGAAATCTGATCATCTGATAAGGGACTCATCAAGAAATCCACTGACAGAGGCTCTGATGATTTACAGAGGAAAAAGAACTTGGCAACTGGATCATCTCTATCCTTCTCATATAAGGGAGATCACAGTAGCCCCTATGAGGAACACTGCTTTCTTGAATGTACACAGACTATGAGGTCTTCCAAAAGGAAGGTGAGCCAGCCCTGCAGTAGCGTGTTCAGTATTTTCCCTGGTGAAAGAGTGCATAATTAAGTGAAAGCAGGATTTATTCAGAAACTCTACATGTTTGGATGTTTAGTTGCTTGTTCTTGCCATGAGCCTCTTGTCAATGGTAAATCTGCAAACTCTCACCTTCAGTGGTATTCCAAGGAAAACCACATTTCTAAGAACTGCATCCCAGAGGCAAATAATCAGGCCAGTTGTCTCCAAAGAAGCTGCACACAACAGCAAGGTCTGATTCACAAACATGAGTGTAAGATCCCAATAGAGGAATAGTGCTTGGGCTCTTTCCTCATACTGTGAAGCCTTAAACATGTGAGAATCTGGCTACCTCTTTACTTACTCTTTACAGTCTGGCAATAGGCCTGAATTTTGGGCCACGCCTTTCCACACAGTTAGACCCTTAGCATGGTCCCTGCTACAGTTTTGGCCCAAGAAAGGTGGTACTTTCCTTGACAAATGCCCAGGTGCAGGGAACAGACAAGCAGAGGTAGGGACATTTCCAGCCAATACTTTGTGTGTGGTAGGGAGGGGGTTAAAAATTCTTCCGTTGTACTAACATAACCCATGATACAGCAGTTGGCCACCAAGCCAGAGACGAACTCCTTTGTTTAATTTTTATTAATTATTAGTACAGATGTAACCCTAGTGCCCCACCAACTATTTAGTTACCAGTTAAGAGGGACACATAGCCTAATACAAACAAGTTAATGCTTCTCTACAGAAGTGTCTCTAACAAGCACCTTTGATCAGTGAGGTAGCAAAGCTTAACTAGAAAGAAAAGAGAACATGGTCGTCTTTTCTGAATTCTCAAACTTGAAGGCATTCCCTCTAGACACTACCCTCTTCTCTCCTCATGGTAAGGCTCTCAGAATACCTACATATTCTTACAGCTTTGGGAGCAAAACTAGAAAATACGGGAGTGGGAGAAGAACAGAGGAGCACAGTAACTGAGAGAGTACAATAAAGGATGAAGAATACGAGGATTAGTTTTCAAAGAGAAGAGTAGGAATAACAGGGAACGAGCAAAAGATAAGGCAGTGCGTATGGAAAAGGCCATAAGCCCCACACTATCTGCTTCTGCAAGTGCCAAGATCTCACATGACTTTGCTCCTCCAGAGATTATAAGCCTCTTCTCTTGCACCCATGTAAACCGAATCTGTGGACTCTCTTGAAGTAGAGACAGGAACTGGGACCACCCCATGTAAATGGGAATCTGAACAGAGCCTTACAAAAGCAGTGAGCTACTCACATGCACAGCATGCCTTGAGTAAACACTGTGAGGAAGTCATATGCGGTAGTCACTAGCTGGTATCTGGAAATACATTTGTTTTCCATTTCTAAACAAGGACATGAAAATGAATTACCAACTTCGTGATCCAGCAGATAACAAGAGTCTGCATAGCACCCTTAACTTTGTATTTATAGGTATCTTTTGTTGGTATCTTTTTGAATTCTACATGACTGCTTAAGGCAACTTCGTTGGGATGAGGGGTGGTTGAAGGTATCAGAAGAACCAAACTGGTTTCCATTGACAGAAATACAAGGAATATTAGGCTTAATATCCAAGGACTTTATGGAGACTGACTAACAAAACACCATTTGCTCTCAGTCAGCTCCACACAAAGCTTTCCAAATAAGTACATCTCAAATGTTGGCAATATTTAAACCAGAAAAGGTAACTTGGAAGATAGCTTAGAAAAACCACACAGCACACTGCCTTCTAAGGCAGCACCCGCATAAACTACAATAATAATAAAATTTACAGAACATACATTTTATAAAAATATGAAACAGAACATGGTCTAGCTAGTCCAAAAGCTTTTCTTCAACCACCTCTTTGCAGTGTATCAGAAGAGGATATAAAACTGGTAAGTACAGACACTCACAGGAAAACCTCTTCAGAAGTTCCTTCCTGATAAGAAGCCTTAGCCTGTGTTGCCGCCACGTAAAAGATCTCTTATCATCCATGCGCTCTCAATAAAACGTTGGCCTCATTGCTAACTTCTAGTAGCATTTTCTAAATTAAAGTAACATTTAGCTGGGGGGTGGGATTCCATTTATTTTTAAATAAATTTCTAAGGCATTTGAGTTTATTGCCTCTCAATTTCCCTTTATTTCTTTGATGCCCTTTTTCTCAAGTCAGAAAACTGTAATTATGAGCATACAATTTCTACACTCCTGTACTTCTTAAGCCAGGTAATAGACACCCCTACCCGAGGGGATGCGATACTGGACCTGGTGGTCACCAATGCAAGCGAGCTCGTCGGAGATGTCAAGATCGGAGGCAGCCTGGGCTGCAGTGACCACGCACTGGTGGAGCTCACGCTCCTAAGGGAAATGACAAGAACAAAGAGTATAGTCA